CTAATTGGAATTGTACCCTTTTATTGCTTCTCCTTAAGCTTCCGTTTGTCATTTCTTTGCATTAAATTTCATGTACTGTACCATATGAATGACCATCCCTTCCAGCCTCTGTTCTCTTGAAGTCGGTGATTATCCTTTTCATGGTTAACAATACTTCCTAGTTTTGAAATTATTGCTGATCTCCCTCAAAACTAATAAAGCTAATCAACATATAGAGGCCAGGGTAAAGGTTCAAGGAGGGGATTATCTTCAGGAATGAGTGTCTAATGGGCCCAGGGTAGTCCCACATTGCTGCTCCCTGTCTTTTGCCCAACGCTAACTTGCACAACTGAAGGTGCCAGGCTTCAGACATGAAGCGGGTCTCTCCACCCCACAACAGGCCCATGGGTGGGCCACCTGACACCTCCTCCATCCTTTGTGAAAGTTCAGACAGGTTGGGAAATGGGTAGGTAGGTGAAAGGAAGAAATCCTGATGGATTTTAAATGATTCACACACCTTCAATGGGGAGGTAATGGCCAGTGGTATTATCGCCAGGACTGTTAATCCAGAGGTCCGGATAATGTTCTGGGGACCTGGTTCAAATCCCGCCAATGCAACTGGTGGAATTTTGAATTTAAAAAAAATCTGAAATGAAAAATCTAATGATGACCATGAACTGATTGTTGGAAAAACCCATCTGGTTCACTAATGTCCTTTAGGGAAGGAAACTGCCAACCTTACTTTGTCTGGCCTATATGTGACTCCAGTCCCGCATCAATGTGGTTGACTCTTAACTGCCCTCTGGGCAATAAATGCTGCCTCGTGATGCCTCATCCTGTGAATGGATTAAAAACAAAACTTGCCAGCAAGGAAGCATAAAATTAAGGCCAATGAGGTTAACAGTTATGACCATTATTTACGTCTAAACCAGAGTGCAAATTCAAGCACTGCATATAATCTGTTAAATAGACAAAAAACTGATAGTTGTTGTCCAAGATGTTTTAGTATTCAAATATCTTCCTGGACATGGCATCTTGACATATCACATTTCAAATAATTTTGAACAGTATAAAGTTTACCTCAATGATTTTTAATAACTCTTCCAGGAAAGGTAAGGTTTATCCAATATAGTATAAGGATCTCTTTAAGAGTATAGTAAGTTTTATTTGCTGACAAAATACATTATTCTTCTTGTTTCTTTTGTGTCTCTTAAATCAGTCTTTCTTTTCCTCTATTTATGTCACTTTCTATAATTTAAATCACTCATTATGCATATTTCTTTATAAGCCTACCAGAGATTTGTTATTGCTATTGTGCCAAATGCTCAGAAAATTGAAAGATGTTGCAAAATGATATATTTAAATCAGTGTTTTTACTGAAATTTTCTTGTATCAAGAAAGATATATGACAAGAAAGATTACAAAAATGAGTTGGCACATTAGAATATTGCCTTGTTTTAGATATAGTAGAATTAAATTGTTCCACAGTTTACTGTAGTTGTGTCAATGTATTGGAGTGTGTGTGGTTACTTCACTTAGTGTATGTAACTGTATTTATCGATTAGGTTATTTTTAGCAATATATTTTAATTATTATGCTTGTGTTTTTTTTAAAAATGAGATTGGGAACTAACATCTAATATGATTGTCAATTATCATATTTCATACAAACCTGTTAAAAAGTGAGAAAAGTGTTTTGAGTGTGAAGGTTGTATTAAAAAGATATCTGATATTAATCTTACTCCTGTTGCTTCTTTCTTTTTACTATTTTTTTTTAATTTCACTGTCATTTTGCTTTAAAAAAAACTGTTTGCTTAAAACTTGCTTTGCAAGAAATATATGGTTCAGCCTGTGACCAGGCCAATAACAGTTTTAAAGTTTTGAATGTCAATATCTAATAAAACACAGCAAGGCAGATTATACATAATTGCACCAGGTGTATAATTGCATGAATAGATACATTTTTTTGCAAATTTACAAGTTAGGTAAATGGTTAACCAACTTCGTTTTATGATTGTGTGATCAACTGTAGATTAAAATCCAAAATATATAAAAAGTGTCAACAGTTTAGCTTGCCAGTGTGTATACACATTGGGTGTCCTTGATTATTTGACTTGGTTGTTGAATTGTTCTGTCTTCTAATAGAAATATATTTTGTACAAAGGATGTACCATCAGAAAACTTCAAATTCACTAATACTACAAAGTGAAATACAAATATGGTCTTTCTTATGCTATTCTTCTGGAACAATTCTATTCTAAGTCACAATGTTTTAATATAAATTGCTAATCTATTGATTAAAATGTTTAATTTTCTTGTCCATTAAACTATAAGAATTAGAGACTGAAATTAGGCATTAGAGCAAGAAAATGCCTAATCCAAGGCTTGAATAAATTTCCAAAATTGACAGATTTAAATCCAAACAGAGTTAGATTTCAAATTCAAATCAAAAACACCAAGTAAAATGATATAACGTTCTTGGTTATAATTTTGAGATTTTACCATAGAAAAATCAAAGCTATCCATCTTTTACATAATTAAACGTTATCAACTCTCTCAGTTGAAATGACGTGTGTAGAACATATTTGCAATGAACGAAATAAAATAGCCCTAACTTTCCTTTCATTTTATTCGCTGGTGAGACATGGTGTCGCTGGCTGGGCCAGCATTTATTTCCCGTTCCTAGTTGCCCGTGAGAAGCAACACTGTTAACATTTGCCGTCATCTATGAAACTGACAGCAACTTTAGTTTGCACATGAACTCAATAACATGAAAGTCCAGAATGAACTCTCAGAGATTGTGCTCCACACAGGAAAGTGTGAGTTTCCCACAAAATGCTTTTCCCAAAAAAAATCAATGAACTGATGGAAACTTCCACTTTTGTATGGGCAGTCTCGCTGTAAAATGGTAACGAAACTGGGATTCTACTAAAGTATCATATTCATAATTGGAACAACACGCCGTCGCGGCCCCTGAAAAATTACTTCTGTATTTAGGAGGGTCAAATTCGTTCATTATCATAAAATAATTCCGTACTAAAATAAAGCGAAAGTCTGTTTATAATATTTGGGATCTATCTTAATCCAGTTATTATCAGTCATTTCTCTACCTGAAAACACAAATTAATAATGGAAGCTGCCAACCTTTAATTTTCTAGTTTTCTGGCACACGAATCGTGTCAGTGTGGGGCTGCTTGTCTGCTTGCTACTGCACTACTGCCGGACACTTGGAAATCCCGTTGACTTGGCACCAGATTTAGGTTGTATTTGGTGAAAAAAAAGGGAAGAGGTACCTGGATCCTTATTCATTCCTTTCTTTGACGTCTGCATTGAACATCGTTGCTTCGCTCCTGACCGCAAAATCCATATCTTATATTTGCTGAGCCAGAAACTTGCGAAAGGTTTAATGTTTGATGATAGCAAGCTAGACAGCCGTAACACATTACGTTTGTGCCGACACTATATAATAGGATAATAATTATGCCATGATTACTCAAGTATATAATATGCTTTTCAATCCGAATATTGAGTATATTAACAGATAATTGTACATCTATGAAATTGTTAATGGTGACTCGTGCAAATAATGCAGCTAACTTACTAAAAGTTACATAATGTGAGCCGCCTGATAATTTTGATGACAATCTATAACTGCACTCAAAAGGATTAAAACGTGTTTGATAACGGCATTCGAAGAGTTTGCCGATGCCAACGCATTATTTCAGTTTCATTTGATTAATGATGCAGAGTTTAAGTTTTTATCAAAACTTTCAATTGAGCAAGGCAAATAAGAAAAACTCTTAAACAGTAATACTTCTTCAAAGAGTTGGTTGATTGGCGAAGCAAAGAGTAATCTTCACAATAACAGTACTTGTAAATAAATGCTAGCATATATATATTACACTATATTTACCTGGAAAAAGTCGATAGCGTTAAGTTACAAAGCGTTATAAGCGAACCTAGACGTACAACTTCTAATTGCAGCGAGCCATTTCAAAAGCCTTTACATATAAACTCATTTACCGAAGTCCCTATCGATGCCCCTCTCGCTATTCCTCTTGTCGCTTCCACGAGTGTGGCATTTGGCATCGCTGTGTGGAATGGACATTCTCAGTATTGTACATGACTTGTCTCTTTTTTTCGGATAATCACCACCGATTCCATGCTGGAATCAAGAATGGAGTTTCGACTATTGGGCACAACTGGAAGATTGACAGCAACTTTTTGTTTAACATTGGTTCAGCTCCAAGGAAGAGTCGCGTCGGACTCGAAACGTTAACTTTGTTTCTTTCCCCACAGAGGTTGCCAATCTACAAGGTTTCTCCAGCACCTTCTGCGTTAATTTCAGATTCCCAGCATCGGCAGTACTTTGCATTTGTTTAATCGTGAATATTATGCCCTGACAAGGCCCACTCCTTTATCTCACCTAATCACTTCTTGCTGACAAGTGAAAAAAGCGCTCTTTTGGTTTTGGTTGAGAGATAAAAAAGACAAATGAGAGCCATATGAAAAAAAAACGGAGCGGTCACTCATGCAGAGTGAGTTGGAGCCCAGTTGAGGTATGGCCAGGCTAACTTCTTGGATGGTATGAAACCGAAAAATAACAAAATGCATTGGTTGAGTCCAGTGGACTGTACAGTGAATATGGAGATGGAATTAGTTTTGTAGGAATGCAAAAAAGAAACAAGAAAACCCTTTGCGCAGGAGTGGGATCTGGGGAATTCACCAGAATGAGATAGACACGCGCCAGGCGCCGCGAGCCCCGTACTGCGCGTGCTCACTGCCCCGGTATGGGGATGGGGTGGAGCCTGGGGGACCGCCCCCTTATCTATTATTCGGGAGGGCGGAGGCGTGCGACTGACGCCGCGCGTCCTGATTGGCCGCCCGCACGTGAGCGACGCGCGCCATCCAGGGCGCCGGAGCCGCTGATTGGTCACGAGCACGCGCTGGTGCTGATTGGTCCACCGTGTTAATAAAAGCTGCCCCCGCCCACCACACCCGCCAAAGCCACAGCTGATGCACTTGGTCAGTGACCGCGGTCTGGCTCTGCTGGGCTGAGCTGTCCTGCCAAACACCCGTAACTCGCCCTAACCAACCACTCCAGCCTCACTCCTCCACATTTACCTTCCCCTTCCCCACCGACTCTCCACACTCGACATGTCCCACCTTCGGAAACTTGCCACCGCGCGCTGGCTGCTGCAAGAGTCTCCGCCAGATCCCGGCGAGGTGCCCCCCAGTGACCCAGCCAACGCCGCACGCCTCGCCAGCACCGAGCCATGCGTCTGGCTCTCGCCTGCTTTCCCGGCCAGCTGTCCACTCTCTCCTCACTCCTACTGCTCCCCCGCAGGAAGCATCGCGCCTCGGTGTCACCAGCAGGTCTCGCACGGAGGTCTGGCCAACATCATACCCAAACTGCCCCCACAGGCTGCAGTGCAAGCCAGCCAGCTTTGCGGTGTGAAGGGCCAGGCTAAAGCGACAAGCAAGGAACTGGCGGAGACACCCAAGCACCGACGACTCGCCGCAAATGCACGCGAAAGGAAGAGGATGCACGGACTGAATCACGCGTTTGATGAGCTACGGAGCGTCATTCCAGCTTTCGACAATGACAAGAAACTTTCCAAATACGAAACACTGCAGATGGCACAGATCTATATAGCAGAATTGACTGAACTTCTGCAAAATGTGAGCCAGCAGAGCCTAGGTGCTGGCAGTTCGCCATCCGACTGCCCAAATGTTAAAGTAGCTAACAATAAACTCTGCCCTACGAATCGCTGCAGTTTGCAAACCCCAGCCAGTGCATGTTCTCCTAACATCCCCGAGGGCTCTCCAAAGGTTATTTCCGACGGTACGGGGGACACAGGACCTGCAGCCCAGCGCTTGAAGTTACTCTCTCCTTGCAAATCGGCCAGAAATGAAAGTAAAGTGGCTTCTTGTTGCAGTGATGGAGAATCTTCTCCTCATTCTCATTACAGCGACTGGGAGGAGGGACAGGCAGACACTCTTCTCTACCAACGCTCAGAACACTTTTCAGATCTCTCACATGCCCCGATGGCGCGGAAAGCCAGTTAGGATGAAACCTCATGAACTTTGACACCAACTGTATTTTTCTAACGTAGAGAGTGCGAGATCATATATTTTTGTAAATTTCAAAGTGGTGATTTAATTTTTGCTCGCACAGTTTCGGGATGGGTTGTTGCACTTTAAAAAAATACTGCATATGAGTGCAGAGATATGCAGAGGGAAAGTACCAGTTGGTATGCAATTTAGAGCAGCGGAACAATCCGCAACACTGTTGAAATATGTTTTTCAATGTTTTTTTTCAAACCCTTTATTAGGCAGATTAAGGTCACATCCTAAATATTGTTGCATGTTTTAAAGTATGACATATTCTTCCAGGGTATAATAAGCACAGGTTCAGGCACTCAATCACCACGTTATAATAAGAATGAAATGGATTCGACATATTTTGAAAAGCATTGTTTCATGTAAAATGAAAATGTACTTTATTTTTTGAATAAAATGTGGACTTGTAAATCATATTTGTGTAATTTGTTTTTATTGCTTTGCGAATAATTACTTTCCCTAATTTAGAATATGCAGGAACATAAATAGATTCAGCAGATAATAATTTCGCATTTTATAAGCATTCTTGAAGTTCAAAACAGATCATAGTAAAGGGGCAACGACGTTAAATTCAACATTCCAGCATGAACAAATCAACCCAAAATAAATCCTACCGAAAGACTTTTATTATCGGGGAAAATAATCAGGTCGAGCTGTCATTTAAAGTAAATTTTGATCCAATCAAGTCTTAGCTGCAAAGTTTACTGTTGGAAATACGTAAAACAAAATGTTAGAAACATTCGTATATATGAATCTGTTGAGGTACCAGGGAGGAGTTGCGCCCTTCGGTTAAACTTTACAATAAGACGAGGGAACAATATATTCAATAATTTAAACTAAGTAAATGAGGTAAGGCTGTAAAAGAGCAGGTGTAAAGCCTGCCATGGAACTGCACCTGTTCCTGAAAGTCGAACTTTGTCCTAAACTGTCATTGTACCTGCATTAATCAAATTGAAATAATGTACGCGTGCCGTACACTCGTAGCAATGATCAAATATGTATGGGTAGAGGCTGGCCAACAGTTATTAACACTACTTAATGCTATAACTTTATTTCATAACATTGCCAGTAGTTTTACTTTAATACGTATTTCGTTCAGTGGAGTTAACCATTACTTTGACCAATGATGACAGTGATTTGGAAGAAATAGCTTAGTTCATGAATGAAATTTGGGTCAAACCAATCGATGTTTGAGTGTATTAATTCTAACAAAATTTGCTACTTGATTCAGAGACCAACTCCTTGAATCTTTCTTTTTAAATACTCTTGTTTTTTTTTAAATTTCCATACTAATAGCTTGAAAAGTACTGGATAAGGTAAAAACATAAAATGTGAAAAATGACCAATCCAGAGCAACTAGAATCTCATTCTAACAGCAATTCTGGAAGGATAATTGAAACACGACATTTCTACAGGCAACAAGTAAAATTGAGTTTTGATTAAGGCGATTGAAACACAGTCGATCGGAGACGGAGACCAGATAAGACTCTCTAAGATTTCTCGATCATCCTAAATGTGCTATTGTGACCTAATATTGGGAGAAATGCTAGGAGTCTGGATTAAACTGTTTGATTTTTGTATTGTAAATTGACATCGTCTACAATATCAGTAACGGGACGAACCAGTTCCGATTTTACATAGTACCCACAGTGAATTAAACTTTGGGTAAAAAACTGCATCAATACCATCCGGCCCTCTCACCTTGAGCATCTTTCGAATAAGTAAGAATAATACATTAAGATATTCGCTTCAGAAATTGGCATTTGTGGGTTGATCGTTTGAAAAAAAAATCACCACTTCTAAAACAGAATGGAATTAGCTTGTTCTGGTAAAATTCCGACCAAAAAAACAGTGTCAACTCTTGAAATGTTTATAGTTGATCAATACCTTATATATCAAATCGTTACAACATTCAAGCAATGCAACACGAGGTACTTAATTATCCTGCAATAATAAGGGGTTTAGAGCATATTTCAATTGCATTACAGAACATGTATTAACAAAAGCCGCTCATTTCGGATCTATCTGCCAGATGCTGTCCGGTAGGCGAGTCTTGGTCTGCCCCTGCCCCTGACTGTAACTAAGATACTGGCTTCGGCATCAGGGATTTCCGACCGCGACTCTGCATAATATCCAGGGTAACACTTTCTCCTGAAAGAAGTCTCATTTGGTCACATTTTGGAAAGAACGATTGCCCATTAGTTTTGGTATAAATAATTCAAAACTTCGACGAGTCTCCCGTATGTGTTTATGGTTCGGTCTAGAGGTAGATTGTTCATAAGCAAAGTTCAAGGCTCTTGTTCGACAGCAAAAAAAATCTGCCGAAATACAGGTTAAAGTGCCCAAACTGTTCCCCTTATCTTAATTGTTATTCTTGTGCTAATAACTTTAAAAAAAACTGTCTAGCTAATGTTCTACTTGAACTTTCAATCACTCCCTTCCTTGACTCAAGACTTTTCAAACTTATTGACTGTACGTAAGCTTCTGTTTTCGCCAGTTACTTGAGCATATTTCTAACATAAATCAGTTTGTGTATATCTGTTTTGTAATCATGTTAAATTTACAGCACAATTCTAGAGCTTTTTGTTTTCAAAACTTACATTTCAACTTTTTTTGGGTTATATTCCACCTTTGGAAACGTTGATATATTAAAACGTGTCAACGTGCTCCTCCCTAAAACCAACAGTTCATTCGAAAGTTATTCTGCCTCAAACTCATGGTCAATCAAAAATATGAAGTAATATTGTCAGTTGAACTTTTCAAACAGCCCTCAATCCCATGTTCTACCAGTTTCAATTGATTGCAGTTCCACCTTGCAACTGCTTGGAATAAGCTGACAATTCAACGTGAGAGAAAGATAGTTTTCTTTTCAGAAGGTGTTTAAAACTTAAAAAATAGTGATGGTTAGTGAATGAGGTTGCTACTACATTTATTTTTTGCATAGATGCTGTCAACGAAGGAAACTGTAGCCTCAGTCAGCGAGTGTAAATGTGATTCTGCCTGACAAAAAATCCATTAATACAAGGTATATTACTTCATTCATGCCAACCCAAGAAGGTGTATATGAATCTAATGGCAACATTGGAGAGGAGTCAAAGTTATCTGTAAAAACTTATCTATAAATCAACTTGTTACTTAATCGCCCAGTTGTTTTTGAGAAATTATTTTACATTGCAGGGCAATATTCACTGAATTTAAAATATGCTCATTTATCTTCTCAGGCATTTAATACAGTGAAGCTCATTTTAATTTGAGACATATAATAGGCAGTTGGCAGGTAGAGTGCACACATTGTCTAAAATTATTATTGGCTATAAGCCTGGGTCTCATTCACATGCGGCTAGTAAGCTGCCAGTACCAAACTGGAAGGAAATTGGACATCTCATGCACAGAGCCAACTGACAGTTAGAGCTTTAGGAGAAGATTTGGACCTTGCAATATCTGGCAGTGAACTGGAGAATTTTATGAAACTTTTTATGAAGCCCTTTTCTAAAAAAAAATCACTCAAGGAACGCGTGCATCGCTGGCTGGGCCACTATTAATCGTCTGTCCCTAGCTGCTCTTGAGGTGGTGATGAGCTGCCTTCTTGAACAGCTATGGTCTATGTGTTGTAGGTAGACCCACATTCTGGTAAGGAAGGAATCCCAGGATTTGGACAAAGCTATTCTGAAGGAATGGCGATATATTTTCCAAGTCAGGATGGGGGGTGGTGGTGATTGGCTTGGAGGGAAACTTGCAGATGGTGGTCTTCCTATGTATCTACTGCCCTCGTCCTTCTAGATGGTGGCTGTCTTGGGTTTGGAAGGTGCTGTCTAAGGATTTTTGCTGTGCATCTTGTAGATGGTATGCACTGCTGCTACTGAGTGTTAGTGTTTGTGAATGTAGAGCGAATCAAGTGGGCTTTGTCATGGTTAGTGTCAAGCTTTTTGCCTGTTTTTGGAGTTGCACTCATTGTGGAAAGTGGGGAGTCTTCCATCACATTCCTCGCTTATGACTTGTAGGTGGTAACAGGCGTTGAGGAGTCAGGAGGTGAGTTACTCACTGCAGAATTTCTAGTCTCTGACCTTATCTTTGTATGGCTAGTTCAGTTCCATTTCTGGTCAGTGGTAACTCCCCAGGATGTTGGTTCTGGGAATTTTTAGTGAGGGACTCAATGAAGCATTGCCATTGTATATCAAGGTGCGGTGGTTAGATTGTTTCTGATTGAAGTTGATCATTTCCTGATTCATTTGTATGGCATAATTGATTCTTGCCTCTTTTCAGCACAAGCCTGGATACTGTCCAGGTCTTGCTATATTTGGGCATGGGCAGCTTCAGTATCTGAGGAGTCATGAATAATGCTGAATGTTGTGCAATCATCAGCAAACATCCTCACTTCTGACTTTACAGTGGAGGGAAGGTAATTGATGAAGGAGTTGAAGAAGTTTGGCCTCAGGAGACTGAGGCTCCAGCAACGTAGTCCTAGGCTGAAATAGTGGATCTCTAACAAGCACAACCATTTCCTTTTGTGCACAGTATGACTCCAACTAGTGGAGAGTTTTCTCCCTCATTCCCATTAACTCCTGTTTTGCTAGGGCTCCTTGATGCCATCCTCAGTTAAATGTGGCCATGATATTAAGGGCAGTCATTCTTATACTACTTTTGGAATTCAGCTCTTTTTGTCCATGTTTGAAACAAGGCTGTAATGAGGTCAGGAGCTGAGTGGCCTTGGTGGAACCCAAGCTGGGCATCAGTGAGCAGGTTATTGGTGAGCAGGTGCTGCTTAATAGCTCTGTAGATGACACCTTCCATCATTTTGCTGATGATCAAAAGTATACTGATGGGGCTGGTTCATTGGCTGGTTCAATTGGTCCTATGTTTTGTGTACAGGACATACCTGGGCAACTTTTCATATTGAGGTGGTGATGAGCTGCCTTCTTGAAATGCTGTGGTCTACATGTTGTAGGTAGATCTACAGTATGGTAGTTGTACAGAAATAGTTTGGCTAGGGTACAGCAAGTTTTCATGCACAAGTCTTTATGCTATTACCAGAAAGTTGTCAGGACTTGTAGCTTTTGCAATATCCAGTGTCTCCAACAGTTTCTTAACATCATGTGGAGTGAATTGAATTAGATGAAGATGAGCATCTGTACTTTTGATAGCACGGAACTGCTAGATCTGATCAAAGACTGTCCCATTTAGCACACTGTCATAGAGTCAGAGAGCTACAGTGCAAAAAAATGTCCTTTTGCCCATCATGATTCCTGTGGTCAAAAACAATTACTTCATTATTCTAATCTTATTTTCTATCACTCAGCCCATATCCTTGTCTACCTTGACATAACAGTGCACA